TCATCAAAGACAAGTCTATGTACTATAACTTAATAGACAAGAAAAACACTGGTCATTAAGTTAGCCACACTGCTAAATTTATAAAACTACTTACGATTTGGCTTTAGTTGTGATTGATGGTTGCCCCTCAAACATAACTACACGATCAGCCAGATATGTTGCCATGATAAAATCGTGCTCAACAACAAACGCTGTCTTCTTTGCATGAAGAATGAACCTAGACATTGACATTAGAGAAAATTGAATAAAGTAGATTAAAAAAACATTTTTTATTAGACTTTACACTAGACTTGCTTTTATTTAAACTGAAGCCTCATATTCGGGAAAATATTTCATATAAAAATATGTCAAAGCATTTTAATCACTGGCTTCTTGAGTATGAATGCTTCTGGTTTTCTCCATTTACCCCAGTTAGGGCAGTAAGTGGAGAAGGAGACTTAAAGTTAAGTGTGTGAGGAAGTTAAGTATAGCCCTATAAAACTAGTTACCTCTTGATCACTTTATCTGCGTGCAGACGCTGCTCTGAATCCAAGTATGCAGAAGGTTCATCAATTAGATAAATATCAGCAGTCTTTCCAAGACACAAGGTCAAGGCCACACGCTGCAACTCACCACCAGAAAGATTTTGAACCTGTGAATGTTAAATGATATACTTAACCAACAATAATAAACCGGGGTGATCTCCCCTAAACTTTCTCGAATATTCTTATATAACACTACGTGGGATGGCAACTCGGAATATTGACATGATTTTTAATTACTTAAACTTTTAAAAATAGAATAGAATCTCGTAGAAAAAAGAATTACGCACCAAGCGAACGCCAAACAAAATATGCATAATAGTGCGGAATATTATTAGTACTTTATAAATTTACATGCGTTTTTTTTTTTTTAGAAATTGGAAATAGCGTGAATTACTACTTCCGGTCAACGGAAATTACTCAAAATGTGAAACAAGATTGAGAATTAGATCTTTTACTTACATGTGAAATTTTATTTATCTATCTGAAGTAGTACTCAATTTATAGGCTTTTGAAAAATTCAAAGTAAAAAAAAGTACCACTTTCGGTTATTGGAAATCGCTCAAAAGTTGATACGGATCAACGATTTTGATAAAATACTTATATATGAAATTTCATCAACCTAGCTGTAACGGTACTCAAGTACTGTTATAGACTTGTCATCACGTTCATTAGATGCGCAATGGTTTTAGTCATGAAACTCTATTGTAAATTTTAAAATTTAAAGTACTGAAAAAATGCATTAATTGATAAAGTGCAATATGGTAGGTAAAACACGGATATGTTAAATACTGCCTTTTTACTTTCTCGTATATACGTAGTATAGAGAAAGTATTGTAATCGTGCAAAAAAAAAATCGAGATTTTTACAAATCTCGACGTTTTACACCTCACTGATACGGAAAAACATAATTTTGCAATCTTGTCCGTATGTCTGTGTGTGTGTGTGTCTGTCCGTGTGTGTGTCTGTCCGTGTGTAAACACGATAACTTGAGTACCGTTACAGCTAGGTTGATGAAATTTCATATATAAGTATTTTATCAAAATCGTAGATCCGTATCAACTTTTGAGCGATTTCCGATAACCGGAAGTGGTACTTTTCCTACTTTGAATTTTTTAAAAGCCTATAACTTGAGTACTATTTCAGATAGATAAATGAAATTTCACATGTAAGTAAAAGATCTAATTCTCTACTTTCTGTTAAATTTTGAGTAATTTCCGTTGACTGGAAGTAGTAATTTACGCTACTTCCGATTTCTCAAAAAACTAATGTAAATTTTAAAAGTACTAATAATATTGCGCACTATTATGCGCTTTTTTTATTTGCGTTCACTTGGTGTGCAATTAATTTGTCTACGAGATTTTATTCTATTTTTAAAACTTTAAGTATTTAAAATGGATCAAAAATCATGTCTATAGCCCAAGTTTCCATCCCCTGTTATTTTATATAAGAATATTCGAGAAAGTTTAGGGGAGATCACTCCCGGTTTATTTTATTTTATACACTGAACGTACTGTTTACTAATTATTAATCCAACTTTCCGTTTGCGGACAAGCTGGGGGTTTTATTGTCATTCACTGAATCAGGCGCGTCGACCGGCGTTTGGACTGGGTGCAATTTGGCGCCACGGGCTAAACTGTAAGCACAATGAGTTGATGTTTGCATTTAAATTGTGTTTTTGTTATGAGTTTGTGTTTGTTTTTCGTTGTTTTTTTTTTGCGTTTGTGTTTGCATTGTTTTTACTTTCTCGTATATACGAAGTATAGAGAAAGTATTGTAATCGTGCAAAAAAAAACGAGATTTTTACAAATCTCGACGTTATACACCTCACTGATACGGAAAAACATAATTTTGCAATCTTGTCCGTATGTCTGTGTGTGTGTGTCTGTGTGTCTGTCCGTGTGTAAACACGATAGCTTGAGTACCGTTACAGCTAGGTGGATGAAATTTCATATATAAGTATTTTATCAAAATCGTAGATCCGTATCAACTTTTGAGCGATTTCCGATAACCGGAAGTGGTACTTTTCCTACTTTGAGTACTAATTCAGATAGATAAATTAAATTTCATATGTAAGTAAAAGATCTAATTCTCTACCTTCTGTTAAATTTTGAGTAATTTCCGTTGACTGGAAGTAGTACTTTACGCTACTTCCGATTTCTCAAAAAACTAATGTCAATTTTAAAAGTACTAATAATATTGCGCACTATTATGCGCTTTTTTATTTGGCGTTCACTTGGTGTGCAATTAATTTGTCTACGAGATTTTATTCTATTTTTAAAACTTTAAGTATTTAAAATGGATTAAAAATCATGTCTATAGCCCGAGTTCCCATCCCCTGTTATTTTATATAAGAATATTCGAGAAAGTTTAAGGGAGATCACTCCCTGTTTATTTGGTGTTTTTATTAGTGTTTGTGTTGTGTTTGTGTTTTCTATTTATATTGTGTTTTTGTTGTGTTTAGTTTTGTTCTGTTCCCAAGTTGGTACATTTAAAAAAGATGTACCGGTGTGGAGCACGGGTATGCAGCTAGTAAAGTATAAGGCTAACGGTGTATTCCAAACATGCACGAATTTAGGTTTTATCTTGACGCTAAAGTGCGCAAAAGTTCGCACCGTTTTACACCCAAATTTGGTGTTGTATTTACTTTAAAGTCAGTCATTTGATAATTGAATGGCTTTCTTGTTGTAAAGAATGTTCTTATGGAAATTCTGGTTTTCTTTGTTATTATTTCAAGACCTTCTTGAAAAAGGCAAGTCAAGTTTGAATAACTATGAAAATTTTCTTATATAAGATTTGCATGTTACTGCAAATAGGCCGTCCGGCTTAATTTTCTTCCATCCATACTGCAAGATAGTCTATTTAGATCTAGATCTAGATCTAGATCTAGTCATCTAGATTTAGATCTAGATCTAGAATCTAAATCTTCGTTAACGATAGACCTACATGAACCATTGATTTGACATTATTAGAGTTAAGTTTTTGTCCTAAAGTGTTCATTTATTCTACCTAAAGATTTAGACTTATGATTATTGTTAAAATATAATGGTTGAGAATTTACTTCGTAATTTTTAGCGCAATTTCCATTCTGGAGAATTGCGTTTATTAACGCGTCATTTCTGGGAATGGATGGATGGATGGATGAATGAATGTATGGATGAATGTGTGTCCGGGCTTTAAGTCGTATCTCCTCCTCAACGAAGCAATATCGATGACTAGTTCCAAAAGCAATTATGTTAAGCAAGTTACGAGAATGAGCATAGGCCATAAAAATTCCGGGTTTCTTTCATGTATTTCCCGGAAAAGCCAAAAAACCTCGAATAAATGCAGTTTTTGGCCCATATCTCGGCAACCAGACCACTTAGCGACTTGAAACATGTACCAATCGATTCCTGCCATAATTTAGAACAATATTGCCGAAGAAAGTTTTCAAAAATATCCTCTCGTTTAGTCACAAATTTTAAAATTACATAAACACCTACAAACCGATCGTTCTTCTAGCTTGAACGCATCCCAGCATTATACGTCAGAGCTATTTTTAGATAACATAAGGAAATTGCGCATTAATGTCACTAGACTTTTTAATTAACTTGTTTTTTTCATAGCTGCAGGATTATAATCGGTGGCAATGCTTTCACCCAATGAGTGTTGTCGTTACAAAACATCATCCACAAACTAAACATTTACTCCCATTCATGCTTACACTTGAACACTTTTATTTCCCGCCTTACTAACAGTTCTAACTTGTTTATTACAAAAATGAACTCAACGATTAAAAAGGATGAACTTAACGCTTAAAATAGATGAACTCAACGATTAAAAAAGATGAACTTTTTATAAACAAGTTTTTTTTTTTAATTTGGCCTTCATCGCAGTTCTAGAAATAGCTATAAAAAATGTTATCTTAAAAAAAATTCAGATATTCAATATTTTAAAAATAAAGATTTATTTCATATAAGTTGCAAATGCAGTCTACTTGAAAACAGTATTTAGGGTTTAAGGCAACATTTCTATTAAACCAAGTCGTTTTACTTGAAGGTTCACTTTTGTATGGCAAACTTTGATTGGCTGATAAGAAAGACATTTCTGAAAATTCTACTTCGTAGTTCTTGGTATTGAAAACTTTGCAGGTGGATAATTATTTATTTTAAGACCACTTCGCTACGCTATGTTTATAGACATGTTCAATAAGATAATCTGAAAAAAAAAACTTTTGACTTTTGGCTTTCATTTTATTCTGTTTAATTAAACATTCTTAAAACATTCATCTTTAGTAAAGTCCGACAATAACCGCACAATCAAGTTTTTACAACCACAATTAGATCTATTTTAATAACATCGCTTACGATTTTTAAAATATTTACTGGAACCTGCGAGACCTCTCCCGGGGGTGATGAGGGATCCATTACTGTAAAGATATGCCTAATCCAAATGAGGAGTCTATTTACAACAGCTACAGCAGTAGCCAGCGCACACACGATGACGAAGCTGTACAACGACCTCTTTGACGTATACGACCCAGAAATCCGCCCCATCTTGAACCACGGTGAAAGTGTTCAGGTGCAAGTGACAATGTACCTGGCTATGATCCTTGATCTGGTAATCTCACGATTAGCTGTTCTTTTTATTACGAATTGTGCATCTATTATTGAACACACACACACACACACATGAAATATTTCTATCGACGTCATTTCCAGGTATAATCTTATGTAAAATATCAAACAATTTTAATTGACCATACCTCGCCGACTCTATTTATCATATATTCTATAAACTTTAACCTCTTCATTTAAACTTCTTGAAAATAATGGCGTCGACCTCCTCTTTTCATTGACTTACTATTAGTATATTTTATATCGATAACGAACCAACTTCTTACTCATTTAATTGGCATCCTACTTCAAACACTTCAAACAAATTTTACCAAACAGACATTCACCCTAAATAGAGGTCCCATCCAGTGTTTCTTCCAGACTTTTTTCTTCCGGGGGGCACTTGACATTTTCGGGGGGGGGGGGGGGGGATGGCGGTAGACTTTCTTCGGGGGGGGGGGTGGGCGGACACTGTTAAAAGTATATATTTTCTTTATAAATTATATAAATTTCATTTCGTTCGGGGGGGGGGGGGGGGGCGGTAAAAAAAATTTACCCCCCCCCCCCCCCGAAGAGATGCCTGGAAGAAACTCTGGTCCCATCTCAAACACATATAATCACATTGACCTTCAACTTACATAGTCGTCCATTCTCAAACACGTATCATACAAATGTCATAAATAAATTTATATATATATATATATATATATATATATATATATATATATATATATATATATATATATATATATATATATATATATATATAGTCGATCACGTAGAAGGGGCAGACAACTATCATTTAGAGATCGCTATCTACTATTTGGGTTTTAACTATATTCAATGACAAAAGGTTAGATTACAAGATTAAACACTAGCGATTGCTGTTGATTTCCAAGAGGGGACACACCGCTGTCTTTTAGAGATTGTAAAGTAGTAAAATATTTCAGTCAAAGCCTATATAGATTTAGTGTCAACTTCTTTTAGAACTAATTACTAAAAAGTGAAAAAAAAAAACAAATATGAAAACCTTATTTGTTCTTAAATTTTGCTGGAAGTATTATGTGTCAATTTGTTAAGCGCTTGTAGGCCGTTGACTGCTTTTCTTACTGACCGGGCTTATATAACCGAGGGTTTAAACTCGAGACTTTTCGGTTCAGCAAACATGAGCTTTACCAACTCGACCATCTTCTGCATATTATTCAAAATAATGAATATACATGAAAGTTTAGGAGATATCATTACCGCTTTACTTCTGATATCTTTTGTCCTTGAGATCATTTGTTTTTCTCACAGGATATCAAGAAACAGGTGTTAAAATTCAGCGGTTTTATGTCTTTTGTAAGTAAATAATTTAGATGATAGTTTTTAACTTGCATATGTATATCAGTTGTTTGTATGTGTGTATGTGTGTTTGTGCGCAGTATTGTAGGAATGTTTGTTGTGAACACACCGGCCCGTATTCATTGAATATATCATTTTGCTAGGATTGTCTTTTACCAACCACAACCTTTTTTACAAGCTTTTATTTAACTCACTTCCTCTGTCGTCAGTCGTCAGTCTGTCGTAAGTCGTCAGTCTAGATCGAAACGCCGGAGTGAAAATTCGGACACTTCTACTTGACCGATACTGTTCACAGTTGGCACGTTGGTCAAGACATGAAGACAATGCAATCTGAAATTAAATTTGACATAATTGGATGCCTAATTAATTTTTATGAATTAATAAAAATTTGGACCGAATTAGTAGTCATGTCTATCCAACCACACCACATGCGTCATCACGTTCAATAGCTGCGCCATCACGTTCAATAGGCGCGCAATAGTTTTTAGTCATGTAACTCTAACTATCTCTACACTACTAAAACTCAACTTTGTTTACATGTTTAAATATTTATTTGTTTGTCTGATTGACTACTGTAGAGGATCTACGCTATATGGAGAACTGTAAAAATGTATGTAGGTAGAGAACAATTTTTGTTTTCAGACAGACTGTTAATCACAAATTTATTTAAAGACGTTAATTAATTTATTGATTTATTCATAGGTAGATTAACCACATTAATTTAAAAAATTTTAAACATTGACTTAACTTTGTGGGAATAGTGACGTCACATGATATGTTTACTTTTTAGTACAATAAATGGCGACTTCAATCAAAGATTTAGTTGCCGATTCAGATGTTTAACGCGTTCTTAAACTAATTTTCTGTCGGCTATAACTTTAACAATACGTCCGTTTGCTATTTTTATTACGTTTCAACACTGTTATCAATGTTTTAACACTTCTTTTTATTTTATTATACAATACATTTAATTTGAAATAATTCTAGATCTATTTCTAGGGCTAATTCGCGTAGATTGTTACGTCGCTTAGAAGTAAAATATATAAGTTATTAACTTCTCGAGAGTACGAGCCTAGATAGCTAAGAAGTTAGCACAATAGGTTACCATGTGGGTGACATGTGTTCTAGACATGCCAGTGTTTTTTTTTTGTTTTTTTTTTTTAAATTGTGAATGATAATGTTGCCTTTGCCTATTGGAACTTAGCGGGATACAGGCAGGTGAAGTAGAGTTCACCTGCTTCTTTGTCCTCAGTATATAACGTGGATAGTGTCGTCAGAGCCATGCTTGGCCGGAATCTTTTTTTTTTAAGATAAAACATGTTGTCTGAGACTTGGCGGAACACTGGGCAGGGGAAGTAGTGTTGGGTAGGTGTAAAATTCACCTGTGACGACAGCATATGAAGAGATAGTGTGGTCATACCCACGCTCAGCCAAAATCTGTGTTTTCATAGATAAAAACATGTCTGAGTTGGGAGGACACTGGGCAGGTGAAGTAGAGTTTACCTGTTTTTGTGACCTCAGCATATGAAAAGATTATGTTGTCAGACCCATGCTCAGACGAAGTCAGTGTTTTTAAAAGACAAAAACGTCTGCGATGTGATGCCTTTTTGAATGTGGGGTCTGGTTATTTTGTGATGATTAGTGGCAGACGTGATGTCATTTATGGATGACCCCCGAAACCCACAGTTATCTAACTAGATAACGGGTAGTCTAGTTGTAAATAAAAACATGAAAAGTACTAAAAAAATTCTTAAAAAACGTTTTAATAACAAGCTTTTATGTAGAAAATAATTATAAATTACTATTTAAATAACTAGTAGTAAAAGTATCCAATAGATACTATAGTGAACCACGCTTTTCTTTATAGTTATTTAAATAGTAATCTATAATTTATTTTCTACTTTTTAGTGCATTAGTACATAAAAGCTTGAAATTATTTTTACGTAACCACATAGTAATATAATATATTTCATACTATGAATATTTACAAGCAATGGAAAGATGAATTGTTGGTTTGGAATTCATCAAAGTATGGCGGAATACAAGACATCATTGCGCCTCAACGTCAAGTGTGGAAACCTGATATTACCATCTACAATAAGTAAGCTAAATTTAATGTATAGGAGCCTGATATTGCAATCCACATACAATAAGTAAAAACTTTTTTCTACTCTAGCAGCTAATTATTTAAAGTAGTTGTTTGTATGGACTTGAAACTTTATTCGATAGAAAGTTTAATTCTAGGTAAGTGTAAAATCGTTTTGGGGACAAGCAGAAACAGAATTTATTTTTGATGAATGAAGTAAAGAGACGGAGATCGAGATCAACAGCAGCTTTTACTGGATAATAAGTTTTAAGAAGCTGTGTAAAAGATATTTGCGTGAAATATGACTGCACTAAAACTGACATCAAAACTCAATAAATTCAAAAACGAAATTTTTAATGGTGCTATTTTCTGGCAAGTATGTAGAAAATCTACCAACAACAAAATCATATTTATAACTGTATATTTATTTATTTAAAAACCCGCCCCGTGCACATTTTCTCACTCCTTTAAGACACCATCTATAACCTGCCCACTGATGCTCATTTTTTTTCTTACAGCATCCACGATTCTTACCTTGGGGAAAGTAATATAAATGTAGCTATCAACCATAAGGGCAGAGTGCTTTGGGAGCCGCCCATAAATCTGGAAGTGTCTTGTGCTGTATGTATATCTTTCAGTATAATATATACAAACCGGGTCTACTCATTGTGCCAAGTTTGGAGGGAGGGGGGGGGGTCTGCATCAGCCTTGATGTTTCTATCTATATATTTCTATTTTTAGTAAAAAATATTAGGCATATTATCTGTTATTGTGGCTGTGTAGAATACACTGAACGACTAATTTGCGTGAAATTTCCGGCGGTGGATTACTAACTTTTGGGATACCGTTCCTGTATAGTAGCTTTTTAAAGTGTGTTGAAAATAGTTTCATAATTATTATTTTTATTAATCAAATTGGCTGATAAATGCTAATTATATAATTAAAAGCTGAATGTGAAAAGTTTTCAAAGTGTAATATGTTTATGTATCCAGGTGGATGTATCTAAGTATCCATTTGACGAGAACACGTGCGTTGTTAAAGTCATTTCGTGGATGCATGACGTGTCCGCCATAAATGTAAGTTAGCTTCGCTTCGGATTGGTTGGTAAATCAACTTATATCATTCGTTGATATGAGACAAAGGGTAATATCTATTTTAATTTTCTTAATCTTCTTTATATTATAAACAGCATGGAAATTATGGGCGTTACATTTATAGCATTAAACATTCCGCCACGTTAGAATAAAGAGATTTTATGTCACCTTTTTTTTTGGGGGGGGGGGGGGGGCTTAGCGTTTAAAAACAAATATTAACAAAATTAGAAAAGTACAGAACATCTGACTAAACTTATGACAAAATCATGAAATCCGCGTCAACAAAACCTACCAAGTAAAAAGCTGTTCGTTTTTCGCATCGATAAACAAACGGAAGAAAAATCTGCCATTTTCTTACTGGAAACATAACGATCTCAAACCATGTTACAGCTTTATGTTTGATGAGCCCTTCAGTTACCTTGATGTGAAACAGCATCGCAAAGCTGCCCAGGCCCAGTGGCGTCGCTAGGTTGGGTGTCACCCGGTGCGGCACTTCGTGGTGTCACCCGCCCCCCAAGTATATATATATATATATATATATATATATATATATATATATATATATATATATATATATATATATATATACATATACACATAGCGTATACACATACGTATGTGACATATATTTAAATTATAAACCCATGTAGGCCGACGCTGACACACACACACACACACACATACATATATATATATATATATATATATAGCTTAGCTAAAATCTTCTCCCAGATAACGACCGGCCCAGAACCTATCAATTTGGAAAGGTTTATTCCCAACAAGGTGTTCAAAGTTAGGTCCAGTGGAGTCGAGTGCAGATATTCACGCCACTTCCAAAAATACTACAAGTACATGCTCTTCAAGATAACGCTCACTAGAAGGCCTTTGTATCTTGTTATAACGTGCGTATTTTTTTTTTATTTTACTTGGTGATATGATGTTAGCTTTCTTTTAAATGGGGAAAGTAGACATGGGATTTTAATTTTAAATCAACCGTCGTGGCTTTGGGGGTTTATTATTTGTTAAAATTGACACGGGCGCTAGGCTAATATACTCGTATCCAGCCTTTGAATGATATTAATAACACACACATTGTACATAAACAGATGTGTTTACGGTATTTAGCTTACAGACTTACATTTGCATAAAAAACTATGTATATATCTTTATAAGTCTTCATATAAATGTATATTCGTATATCTACATATATGTATGTATGCGGCTCTCTTTCCTGGCTCTAAACGCTCTTCATTGTACTTTGACTATCTATCCTTCTTCAGGGTACTACTACCGATCATGCTGTTGGCTATCTTGAGTATCCTGTCTTTCGTAATATCTCCGGATGAGAAGGACAAACTCTCTGTCGCCTTCACCATACTGGTCGCCTTCACTGTGTTTCTCAGCATTATCAATAAAGAACTGCCCAAAGACTCGTTAAAGATGTCGCTGTTGGGTTAGTATGCTTTCATTTTTATTTTTGAGATTTATATTTTTAGCACCAGGCTTAAGAGTTAAGATAATTATATACGAAACAAACACACCCAAATGATGTCCACACGCTCCTCCCCCTCCCCTTCCCGCATCACAAAGAAAGCCCTACCTCTGCTTATTATGCACCAAATTGGAAAAAAAGAAGAAGAAACGCGCTTGTTTAACACTGTATCCCTCATCCCCACATACTTCGGAGAAGAGGGATAGTTGTTTTTTTAATTAACGTTTTAAAATGTTTAATTAATTTAATCGCATCACAATATAGCATTAGGAAGGTTACACCAGACTAAATTTATTTTTTTTTTTACTTTTATTTTTTTGTGCACCTTTTCATTTGTGACCTTTCTGTGTTTAATGAATATAATTATGATAAAAAGCCTTTTTTTTCTTAAAATGTTATTTTTTAATGTGAGATTTATTATTTACCCAACACACTTTAGTAACAAGACTGTTACCTTGTCTTTAACTATGTCTTCCAGTTGTGTACATCTCGCTTCTAATAATAGTTGCGATATTTGCTGTCGCGGGGAATTGTTTGGTTATTGTCATGCACGAAATTGACAAGACAAAACTCAAATCCGTCTCCGTGGACACCTTGGATGGTAGTAATGCAGTTACGACTGATAAATGGTGGAAAGTCCTAAAATCAAGAAGTAGAGCCTCGGGACTCAATTTATTGTTCCTGATATTTAATGTCATATTCTTTGTCGTCATCACAACTGTTGTTTCATGCTTTATGGTTTTTTAAATTAATTATTAATTTAATAAGATATACATTTCTGTCGTTATCACATCTGTTGTCTCGTGGTTTCTTGATTTAATTATTTTAGTGAATTATACATGTCTGTCGTCATCACATCTGTCGTCTCATGCTTTCTGGTTTCTTAATTTAATTATTATTTTAATCAAATTTACATTATGTTTCTTCATTAGTTTTAAAGCAAATTAGTATTCAGTTGAATTTTTTATTTTATTTGAACGTGTAGTGGTTCTCTATGTGTACAATTTTCTTTCATCAGATTAAATTAACAATCAGCGTTATGTCCAAAAATAAAGCCAAATGGATTATTCCAACCAAAGTTTGTCAATTTTTATTTAAAATTTAAACGAGCAGTTATTTTTCCTTCTCTATAGGAATCATTATCAGAAGGCGTAGTTTTAGGAGAGCTTCTAGGGTGCCCCGCAGTTTCTTCCAGGCATCTATTCGGGGGGGGGGGGGGGTGGCGGCTGTGTCAGTAACCATATCTAATTGATTTAGCATATTGTGTTATCAAACAGCTCATTATAACTAACTATTCTTGGAGAAGACCGTTTTCAAATTAAGAGTCCCATGCTTCTAGCAAAATATTTACAATTCTGCTAACAAAAGGCAATATGCTTAATTAAGATTAGTAATGTCTTTGATTCAGACAAAATTAGCTTTCAAAACTGTTATCAGCACATTTCGATATGCCGAGGGGAAAAAATAAGTCATCATCATCAAAGACATGTCTATGTACTATAACTTAATAGACAAGAAAAACACTGGTCATTAAGTTAGCCACACTGCTAAATTTATAAAACTACTTACGATTTGGCTTTAGTTGTGATTGATGGTTGCCCCTCAAACATAACTACACGATCAGCCAGATATGTTGCCATGATAAAATCGTGCTCAACAACAAAAGCTGTCTTCTTTGCATGAAGAATGAACCTAGACATTGAAGGCAATCTAATTAGAGAAAATTGAATAAAGTAGATTAAAAAACATTTTTTTATTAGACTTTACACTAGACTTGCTTTTCTTTAAACTGAAGCCTCATATTCGGGAAAATATTTCATATAAAAATATGTCAAAGCACTTTAATCACTGGCTTCTTGAGTATGAATGTTTCTGGTTTTCTCCACTTAGCCCAGAAAGGGCATTAATTTACATTTTCACTAGTAATAGTTTACACCCTCACAGGAGAAGAAGACTAAGTTAAATGTGGGTGAGGAAGTTAAGTATAGCCCTGTAAAACTAGTTACCTCTTGATCACTTTAGCTGCGTGCAGACGCTGCTCTGAATCCAAGTATGCAGAAGGTTCATCAATTAGATAAATATCAGCAGGCTTTCCAAGACACAAGGTCAAGGCCACACGCTGCAACTCACCACCAGAAAGATTTTGAACCTGTGAATGTTAAATGATATACTTAACCAACAATAATAAACCGGGGGTGATCTCCCCTAAACTATCTCGAATATTCTTATATAAAACTACGTGGGATGGCAACTCGGAATATTGACATGATTTTTAATTACTTAAACTTTTAAAAATAGAATAGAATCTCGTAGAAAAAAAGAATTACGCACCAAGCGAACGCCAAACAAAATATGCATAATAGTGCGGAATATTATTAGTACTTTATAAATTTACATGCGTTTTTTTGAGAAATTGGAAATAGCGTGAATTACTACTTCCGGTCAACGGAAATTACTCAAAATTTGATACAAGATTGAGAATTAGATCTTTTACTTACAGGTGAAATTTTATTTATCTATCTGAAATAGTACTCAAGTTATAGGCTTTTGAAAAATTCAAAGTAAAAAAAAGTACCACTTCCGGTTATTGGAAATCGCTCAAAAGTTGATACGGATCTACGATTTTGATAAAATACGTATATATGAAATTTCATTAAACCTAGCTGTAACGGTACAAGCTGGGGGTTTTATAGTCATTCACTGAATCAGGCGCGTCGACCGGCGTTTGGACTGGGTGCAATTTGGCGCCACGGGCTAAACTGTAAGCACTATAAGTTTATGTTTGCATTTAAATTGTGTTTTTGTTATGAGTTTGTGTTTGTTTTTCGTTGGTTTTTTTGCGTTTGTGTTTGCATTGTTTTGGTGTTTTCATTAGTGTTTGTGTTGTGTTTGTGTTTTCTATTTATATTGTATTTTTGTTGTGTTTAGTTTTGTTCTGTTCCCAAGTTGGTACATTTAAAAAAGATTTACCGGTGTGGAGCGCGGGTATGCAGCTAGTAAAGTATAAGGCTAACGGTGTATTCCAAACATGCACGAATTTAGGTTTTATCTTGACGCTAAAGTGCGCAAAAGTTCGCACCGTTTTACACCCAAATTTGGTGTTGTATTTACTTTAAAGTCAGTCATTTGATAACTGAATGGCTTTCTTGTTGTAAAGAATGTTCTTATGGAAATTCTGGTTTTCTTTGTTATTATTTCAAGACCTTCTTGAAAAAGGCAAGTCAAGTTTGAATAACTATGAAAATTTTCTTATATAAGATTTGCATGTTACTGCAAATAGGCCGTCCGGCTTAATTTTTTTGCATCCATACTGCAAGATAGTCTATTTAGATCTAGATCTAGATCTAGATCTAGTAGATCTAGATCTAGATCTAGTCATCTAGATCTAGATCTAGAATCTAAATCTTCGTTAACGATAGGCCTACATGAACCATTGATTTGACATTATTAGAGTTAAGTTTTTGTCCTAAAGTGTTCATTTATTCTACCTAAAGATTTAGACTTATGATTATTGTTAAAATATAATGGTTGAGAATTTACTTCGTAATTTTTTTTTCATAGCTGCAGGATTATAATCGGTGGCAATGCTTTCACCCAATGAGTGTTGTCGTTACAAAACATCATCCACAAACTAAACATTTACTCCCATTCATGCTTACACTTGAACACTTTTATTTCCATCCTTACTAACAGTTCTAACTTTTTTATTACAAAAATGAACTCAACGATTAAAAAGGATGAACTTAACGCTTAAAATAGATGAACTCAACGATTAAAAAAGATGAACTTTTTTTAAACAAGTTTTTTTTTAATTTGGCCTTCACCGCAGTTCTAGAAATAGCTATAAAAAATGTTATCTTCAAAAAAAATTCAGATATTCAATATTTTAAAAATAAAGATTTATTTTATATAAGTTGCAAATGCAGTCTACTTGAAAACAGTATTTAGGGTTTAAGGCAACATTTCTATTAAACCAAGTCGTTTTACTTGAAGTTTCACTTTTGTATGGCAAACTTTGATTGGCTGATAAGAAAGACATTTCTGAAAATTCTACTTCGTAGTTCTTGGTATTGAAAACTTTGCAGGTGGATAATTATTTATTTTAAGACCACTTCGCTACGCTATGTTTATAGACATGTTCAATAAGATAATCTGAAAAAAAAACTTTTGACTTTTGGCTTTCATTTTATTCTGTTTAATTAAACATTCTTAAAACATTCATCTTTAGTAAAGTCCGACAATAACCGCACAATCGAGTTTTTACAACCACAATTAGATCTATTTTAATAACATCGCTTACGATTTTTAAAATATTTACTGGAACCTGCGAGACCTCTCCCGGGGGTGATGAGGGATCCATTACTGTAAAGATATGCCTAATCCAAATGAGGAGTCTATTTACAACAGCTACAGCCAGCGCACATACAATGACGAAGCTGCACAACGACCTCTTTGACGTATACGACCCAGAAATCCGCCCCATCTTGAACCACGGTGAAAGTGTTAAGGTGCAAGTGACAATGTACCTGGCTATGATCCTTGATCTGGTAATCTCACGATTAGCTGTTCTTTTTATTACGAATTGTGCTTCTATTATTGAACACACACAGACACACACACACACACATGAAATATTTCTATCGATTATCGACGTCATTTCCAGGTATAATCTGATGTAAAATATCAAACAATTTTAATTGACCATACCTCGCCGACTCTATTTATCATATATTCTATAAACTTTAACCTCTTCATTTAAACTTCTTGAAAATAATGGCGTCGACCTCCTCTTTTCATTGACTTACTATTAGTATATTTTACATCGATAACGAACCAACTTCTTACTCATTCAATTGGCATCCTACTTCAAACACCTCAAACAAATTTCACCAAACTGACATTCACCCTAAATAGAGGTCCCATCCAGTGTTTCTTCCAGACTTTTTTCTTCCGGGGGGCACTTGACATTTTCGGGGGGGGGGGGGGGGGCGGCGGTAGACTTTCTTCGGGGGGGGGGGCGGACACTGTTAAAAGTATATATTTTCTTTATAAATTATATAAATTTCATTTCGTTCGGGGGGGGGGGGGGTGGTAAAAAAATTTCGGGGGGGTCTAAGCCCCCCCCCCCCCCCCCCCGAAGAGATGCCTGGAAGAAACTCTGGTCCCATCTCAAACACATATAATCACATAGACCTTCAACTTACATAGTCGTCCATTCTCAAACACGTATCATACAAATGTCATAAATAAATTAATAAATATATATATATATATATATATATATATATATATATATATATATATATATATATATATATATATATATATTGTCGATCACGTAGAAGGGGCAGACAACTATCATTTAGAGATCGCTATCTACTATTTGGGTTTTAACTATATTCAATGACAAAAGGTTAGATTACAAGATTAAACACTAGAGATCGCTGTTGATTTCCAAGAGGGGACACACCGCTGTCTTTTAGAGATTGTAAAGTAGTAAAATATTTCAGTCAAAGCCTATATAGATTTAGTGTCAACTTCTTTTAGAACTAATTACTAAAAAGTGAAAAAAAAAATTAAAACCTTATTTGTTCTTAAATTTTGCTGGAAGTATTATGTGTCAATTTGTTAAGCGCTTGTAGGCCGTTGACTGCTTTTCTTACTGACCGGGCTTATATAACCGAGGGTTTAAACTCGAGACTTTTCGGTTCAGCAAACATGAGCTTTACCAACTCGACCATCTTCTGCATATTATTCAAAACGAGCCGGCCCGCGGCGTATCATACGCCGCTATTTAGTTGTTGTTTTTTCTACTTTTCAGTAATTCAAAATTTGTGAATTCGACAGTACCAACGCTGCCACTGAAAATATTTCTTTAAAACACTATAAGTAGCTCGTTAAGGACCATAACCCCCCTCCCTTCCTTTCCCCCTCCCCCCCCCCCCTACGTTTAAAATCGTTGGCTCTGCTTGTAAACATTTAGAGTGAACACAGCTCACTAAAACCATGTAGGGGTGGGGAGGTAGGGAGCGCGTTTACAGCTTGTTTTCTTGGCGCGTTTGCAGCTTGTTTTCTAGCGGCTCCCAGAAGAGAATTATATATATAGATAATGAATATACATGAAAGTTTAGGAGAGATCATTACAGGGGCGGAACTACAGTGCCGCCAGACCCCGCAATGAAGGGGGCCCACGCCATTTAGGGGCCCACGGCCGACCCTAATAGTTTTTATTATAGTTAAAAAAATCTAATTTTCTTGCAATTTTTGACTTGATGTTTGTTTTGTAAAACGATTACCATAGCTGCGGTTAGATTATCTTTATTCTATAGACACCATCCCCACGCTCTTGTATATTCTTTTTCCAATTCCATGACTTATTTCCCTTTTTTAAATAGTCAAATTGGGGTGCTCATAAGCTCCTTTTAATAGATTTGTACTAAAAAAATTAAAAAGAAATTACATCTCTTACTTAATATTTTTTCATATAGTATTTACTAAAGAATGAACTTTTATAAAAAGGAAATGTATTTAAAATTAATAATATAAATACAAAAAAAAAAACATAAAAATAATCATAACACGAGACACCATTACTTCTACAAAGATTTCATGTTTTATATTCTTTTGGCCGAATGGATTTTAGAACCCATAGCAGATAGGATTAAACTGATTTACTCAAAACACACTAAAGCACTTACTCACATGACATGATGTAGTAATTTGTTTTAATTGGAAAAAGAACCCATTTTTATTCAAAACCCGAACAGGCCAGCAATGAGTATCCCATGCTCTGGTCGTATTTTGTGTTTGTATATATATATATATATATATATATATATATATATATATATATATATATATATATATATATATATATATATATATATATATAGGTGGGGGGGGGCTAAAAAAAAATTTGCGGGGTGGCCATTTTTTTTTAGTTCCGCCACTGGATCATTACCGCTTTACTTTTGATATCTTTTGTCCTTGAGGTCATTTGTTTTTCTCACAGGATATCAAGAAACAGGTGTTAAAATTCAGCGGTTTTATGTCTTTTGTAAGTAAATGATTTAGATGATAGTTGTTAACTTGCATATGTATATCAGTTGTTTGTATGTGTGTTTGTGCGCAGTATTGTAGGAATGTATATTGTGAACACACCGGTCCGTATTCACTATGTATCATTTTGCTAGGATTGTCTTTTACCAACCTCAACTTTTTTTTTACGTATACACATATTAATATATATTTCATACTATGAATATTTACAAGAAATGGAAAGATGAATTGTTGGTTTGGAACACATCAAAGTATGGCGGAATTGAAGACATCATTGCGCCTCAACGACAAGTGTGGAAACCTGATATTACCATCTACAATAAGTAAGCTAAATTTAATGTATAGGAGCTTGATATTGCAATCTATATATAATAAGTAAAAAAAATTATTAATCTGGCAGCTAATTATTTAAAGTAGTTGTTTGTATGGACTTGAAACTTTATTCGATAGGATATTTAATTAAGTATAAAATCGTTTTGGGGACAAGCAGAAACAGAAGTTATTTTTGATGAATGAAATAACGAGGCGGCGACCGAGAACAACGACAGCTTTGGACAATAGGTTTTCAGAAGCTGCGTAAAAGATATTTGCGTGAAATATGACAGCCCAAAAAGCAACAGCAAAACTCAATCAATTCAAAAATTAAACTTTTAAAAGTGCAAGTATGTAGAAAATCTACCAACAACAAAATCATATTTATAACTGTATATTTATTTATTTTAAAAACCCGCCCCACGCAACTTTTCTCACTCCTTTAAGACACCATCTTTAACCTGCCCACTGATGCTCATTTTTCTTTCAGCATCCACGATTCTTACCTTGGGGAAAATAATATAAATGTAGCTATCAACCATAAGGGCAGAGTGCTTTGGGAGCCACCCATAAATCTTGAAGTTTCTTGTGCTGTATGTATATCTTTCAGTATAATGTATACAAACCGGGTCTATTCATTGTGCCAAGTTTGGGGGGGGGGGGTGTCTGTATCAGCCTTGATGTTTCTATCTATACATTTCTATTTTTAGTAAATATATTAGTCATATGATCTGTTATTGGGGCTGTGTAGAATACACTGAACGACTAATTTGCGTGAAATTTCCGTCAATGGATCTCAAACGTTTGGGATAATCCCTATGTTGCAAACTCTCCAGGGGTCGATCGAAGAGCAAAAATTTGCCATCGGGATCAAAAAGCTTTATGAAAATCCTGCTTTTTACGCTCATGTTCGTGCTTTTCTACCGTCAGAATGTTATCCATTTGATAGAACGGGTTGTCTTGTATACTATTATATTTTCTTGCTGTTCATATAGTTATGTATTTATGTTTGCTTGAGACCACTGTACCTGTATAGTAGCTTTTTAAAGTGTGTACGGCAAGTTGGAAATAATTTCATAATTATTATTTTTATTAATCAAATTTGCTGATAAATGCTAATTATATAATTAAAAGCTGAATGTGAAAAGTTTTCAAAGTGTAATATGTTTATGTATCCAGGTGGATGTATCTAAGTATCCATTTGACGAGAACACGTGCGTTGTTAAAGTCATTTCGTGGATGCATGACGTGTCCACCATAAATGTAAGTTAGCTTCGCTTCGGATTGGTTGGTAAATCAACTTATATCATTCTTTGATATGAGACAAAGGGTAATATCTATTTTAATTTTCTTAATCTTCTTTATATTATAAAGAGCATGGAAATTATGGGCGTTACATTTATAGCATTAAACATTCCGCCACGTTAGAATAAAGAGATTTTTTGTCCCCTTTTTTTTTTGGGGGGGGGGGGGGCTTAGCGTTTAAAAACAAATATTAACAAAATTAGAAAAGTACAGAACATCTGACTAAACTTATGACAAAATCATGAAATCCGCGCCAACAAAACCTACCAAGTAAAAAGCTGTTCGTTCTTCGCATCGATAAACAAACGGAAGAAAAATCTGCTCTTTTCTTACTGGAAACATAACGATCTCAAACAATGTTACAGCTTTTTGTTTGATGAGCCCTTCAGTTACCTTGATGTGAAACAGCATCGCAAAGCTGCCCAGGCCCAGTGGCGTCGCTAGGTTGGGTGTCACCCGGTGCGGCACTTCGTGGTGTCACCCGCCCCCCAAGTATATATATATATATATATATATATATATATATATATATATATATATATATATATATATATATATATATATATACATACATACATACATAGACACATAGCGTATACATATACGTATGTGACATATTTAAATTATAAACCCATGTAAGCCGACGCTGACACACACATATATATATATATATATATATTGTTACGTACCCCCTTCTCTAATCCTTTCGAACTAGTCAGGGGATCGTAAACAAGAAGAAGAAAAATAAAAATAAATAAATGCCAACTTCAGTAATCTCTATTTATTCGCCACAAAATACAACATCTAACATTAACCCGCCACCACATGGAACACAATAGGAAAAATACACAACTATCTACAACTAAAGTACTTAGTACGACTACCCTACTTGTCCCTAACCGTCTAGCCTAGCCTAAGTCTAAAACATGTCGTGGCTTTCCACTAGCTCACAGAGACGACCCCATGTCTGTCTCCTCTAAACCTAGCTATCCGAGACGTCCGTCCGTCTCCGTGTGTGTGTCCCGAGTGTCTGTCGAGAGTGTGAGTGTCCCTAGTCTCCGGTCTACCCTCCTAAAGTACTCAAGTCGTCCCCCGCTAGTGTGGGAACCTTGTTAATCGAGCCTGACCCCCATGTCGGGTCAGGTCAGGACATGACCGTCCATCTCGGCCCTGTGCGATCTGGAAGGTTTTCCCAGCCGTAAATCACGAGTTCTTGGCCACGTTAATAGCTCGGACCCCAAGACACCAGGTATGCACCGCCCACAGCGTGGTAACCAATCCGGTGTGGCCGTCACGGCCCAAAGGTTCTCACGGCCTATGCTGGCCAGTGCATTAACATGCCTAAGCATTTCATTTTAATTACCTGGCCCTCCTCGATGGGACCAAACCCAGGTAAAAATCACTTGGGTTCGTAACAATATATATATATATATATATATATATATATATATATATATATATATATATATATATATATATATATATATATATATATATATATATATATATATATCTACTGCTTAGCTAAAATCTTCTTCCCCAGATTACGACCGGCCCAGAACCTATCAATTTGGAAAGGTTTATTCCCAACAAGGTGTTCAAAGTTAGGTCCAGTGGAGTCGAGTGCAGATATTCACGCCACTTCCAAAAATACTACAAGTACATGCTCTTCAAGATAACGCTCACTAGAAGGCCTTTGTATCTTGTTATAACGTGCGTATTTGTTTTTAATGTTTCTTGGTGATATGATGTTATCTTTCTTTTAAATGGGGAAAGTAGACATGGGATTTTAATTTTAAATCAACCGTCGTGGCTTTGGGGGTTTATTATTTGTTAAAATTGACACGGGCGCTAGGCTAATATACTCGTATCCAGCCTTTGAATGATATTAATAACATACACATTGTACATAAACAGATGTGTTTACGGTATTTAGCTTACAGACTTACATTTGCATAAATAACTATGTATATATCTTTATAAGTCTTCATATAAATGTATATTCGTATATCTATATATATGTATGTATGCGGCTCTCTTTCCTGGCTCTAAACACTCTCCACCCTACTTTGACTATCTCCCCTTCTTCAGGGTACTACTACCGATCATGCTGTTGGCTATCTTGAGTATCCTGTCTTTCGTAATATCTCCGGATGAGAAGGACAAACTCTCTGTCGCCTTCACCATACTGGTCGCCTTCACTGTGTTTCTCAGCATTATCAATAAAGAACTGCCCAAAGACTCGTTAAAGATGTCGCTGTTGGGTTAGTATGCGTTCATTTTTATTTTTGAGATTAATATTTTTAGCACCAGGCTTAAGAGTTAAGATAATTATATAAGAAACAAACACACAAATAATGCCCAAACGCTCATCCCCCCCTGTCCTTTCCCGAATCACAAAGAAGGCCCTACCTCTGCTTATTATGCACCAAATTGGAAAAAAAAAAGAAGAAACGCGCTTGTTTAACACTGTATCCCTCATCCCCACATACTTCGAAGAAGAGGGATAGTTGTTTTTTTAATTAACTTTTTAAAATGTTTAATTAATTTAATCGTATCACAATATAGCATTAGGAAGGTTACACCAGACTAAATTTTTTTTTTTACTTTTATTTTTTGTGCACCTTTTCATTTGTGACCTATCTGTGTTTAATGAATATAATTATGATAAAAAGCCTTTTTTCTTAAAATGTTATTTTTTTAATGTGAGATTTATTATTTACCCAACACACTTTAGTAACAAGACTGTTACCTTGTCTTTAACCATGTCTTCCAGTTGTGTACATCTCGCTTCTAATAATAGTTGCGATATTTGCTGTCGCGGGGAATTGTTTGGTTATTGTCATGCACGAAATTGACAAGAAAAATCTCAAATCCGTCTCCGTGGACACCTTGGATGGTAGTAATGCAGTTACGACTGATAAATGGTGGAAAGTCCTAAAATCAAGAAGTAGAGCCTCGGGACTCAATTTATTGTTCCTGATATTTAATGTCATATTCTTTGTCGTCATCACAACGGTTGTTTCATGCTTTATGGTTTTTTAAATTAATTATTAATTTAATAAGATATACATTTCTGTCGTTATCACATCTGTTGTCTCGTGGTTTCTTGATTTAATTATTTTAGTGAAATATACATGTCTATCGTCATCACATCTGTCGTCTCATGCTTTCTGGTTTCTTAATTTAATTCTTATTTTAATCAAATTTACATTATGTTTCTTCATTAGTTTTAGAGCAAATTAGTATTCAGTTGAATTTTTTATTTTATTTGAACGTGTTGTGGTTCTCTATGTGTACAATTTTCTTTCATCAGATTAAATTAACAATCAGCGTTATGTCCAAAAATAAAGCCAAATGGATTATTCCAACCAAAGTTTGTCAATTTTTCTTTAAAATTTAAACGAGCAGTTATTTTTCCTTCTCTATAGGAATCATTATCAGAAGGCGTAGTTTTAGGAGGGCTACTAGGGTGCCCCGCAGTTTCTTCCAGGCATCTATTCGGGGGGGGGCGGCTGTGTCAGTAACCATATCTAATTGATTTAGCATATTGTGTTATCAAACAGCTCATTATAACTAACTATTCTTGGAGAAGACCGTTTTCAAATTAAGAGTCCCATCCTTCTAGCAAAATATTTACAATTCTGCTAACAAAACGCAATATGCTTAATTAAGATTAGTAATGTCTTTGATTCAGACAAAATTGGCTTTCAAAACTGTTATCAGCACATTTCGATATGCCGAGGGGAAAAAATAAGTCATCATCATCAAAGACAAGTCTATGTACTATAACTTAATAGACAAGAAAAACACTGGTCATTAAGTTAGCCACACTGCTAAATTTATAAAACTACTTACGATTTGGCTTTAGTTGTGATTGATGGTTGCCCCTCAAACATAACTACACGATCAGCCAGATATGTTGCCATGATAAAATCGTGCTCAACAACAAACGCTGTCTTCTTTGCATGAAGAATGAACCTAGACATTGACATTAGAGAAAATTGAATAAAGTAGATTAAAAAAACATTTTTTATTAGACTTTACACTAGACTTGCTTTTATTTAAACTGAAGCCTCATATTCGGGAAAATATTTCATATAAAAATATGTCAAAGCATTTTAATCACTGGCTTCTTGAGTATGAATGCTTCTGGTTTTCTCCATTTACCCCAGTTAGGGCAGTAAGTGGAGAAGGAGACTTAAAGTTAAGTGTGTGAGGAAGTTAAGTATAGCCCTATAAAACTAGTTACCTCTTGATCACTTTATCTGCGTGCAGACGCTGCTCTGAATCCAAGTATGCAGAAGGTTCATCAATTAGATAAATATCAGCAGTCTTTCCAAGACACAAGGTCAAGGCCACACGCTGCAACTCACCACCAGAAAGATTTTGAACCTGTGAATGTTAAATGATATACTTAACCAACAATAATAAACCGGGGTGATCTCCCCTAAACTTTCTCGAATATTCTTATATAACACTACGTGGGATGGCAACTCGGAATATTGACATGATTTTTAATTACTTAAACTTTTAAAAATAGAATAGAATCTCGTAGAAAAAAGAATTACGCACCAAGCGAACGCCAAACAAAATATGCATAATAGTGCGGAATATTATTAGTACTTTATAAATTTACATGCGTTTTTTTTTTTTAGAAATTGGAAATAGCGTGAATTACTACTTCCGGTCAACGGAAATTACTCAAAATGTGAAACAAGATTGAGAATTAGATCTTTTACTTACATGTGAAATTTTATTTATCTATCTGAAGTAGTACTCAATTTATAGGCTTTTGAAAAATTCAAAGTAAAAAAAAGTACCACTTTCGGTTATTGGAAATCGCTCAAAAGTTGATACGGATCAACGATTTTGATAAAATACTTATATATGAAATTTCATCAACCTAGCTGTAACGGTACTCAAGTACTGTTATAGACTTGTCATCACGTTCATTAGATGCGCAATGGTTTTAGTCATGAAACTCTATTGTAAATTTTAAAATTTAAAGTACTGAAAAAATGCATTAATTGATAAAGTGCAATATGGTAGGTAAAACACGGATATGTTAAATACTGCCTTTTTACTTTCTCGTATATACGTAGTATAGAGAAAGTATTGTAATCGTGCAAAAAAAAAATCGAGATTTTTACAAATCTCGACGTTTTACACCTCACTGATACGGAAAAACATAATTTTGCAATCTTGTCCGTATGTCTGTGTGTGTGTGTGTCTGTCCGTGTGTGTGTCTGTCCGTGTGTAAACACGATAACTTGAGTACCGTTACAGCTAGGTTGATGAAATTTCATATATAAGTATTTTATCAAAATCGTAGATCCGTATCAACTTTTGAGCGATTTCCGATAACCGGAAGTGGTACTTTTCCTACTTTGAATTTTTTAAAAGCCTATAACTTGAGTACTATTTCAGATAGATAAATGAAATTTCACATGTAAGTAAAAGATCTAATTCTCTACTTTCTGTTAAATTTTGAGTAATTTCCGTTGATTGGAAGTAGTAATTTACGCTACTTCCGATTTCTCAAAAAACTAATGTAAATTTTAAAAGTACTAATAATATTGCGCACTATTATGCGCTTTTTTTATTTGCGTTCACTTGGTGTGCAATTAATTTGTCTACGAGATTTTATTCTATTTTTAAAACTTTAAGTATTTAAAATGGATTAAAAATCATGTCTATAGCCCAAGTTTCCATCCCCTGTTATTTTATATAAGAATATTCGAGAAAGTTTAGGGGAGATCACTCCCGGTTTATTTTATTTTATACACTGAACGTACTGTTTACTAATTATTAATCCAACTTTCCGTTTGCGGACAAGCTGGGGGTTTTATTGTCATTCACTGAATCAGGCGCGTCGACCGGCGTTTGGACTGGGTGCAATTTGGCGCCACGGGCTAAACTGTAAGCACAATGAGTTGATGTTTGCATTTAAATTGTGTTTTTGTTATGAGTTTGTGTTTGTTTTTCGTTGTTTTTTTTTTGCGTTTGTGTTTGCATTGTTTTTACTTTCTCGTATATACGAAGTATAGAGAAAGTATTGTAATCGTGCAAAAAAAAACGAGATTTTTACAAATCTCGACGTTATACACCTCACTGATACGGAAAAACATAATTTTGCAATCTTGTCCGTATGTCTGTGTGTGTGTGTCTGTGTGTCTGTCCGTGTGTAAACACGATAGCTTGAGTACCGTTACAGCTAGGTGGATGAAATTTCATATATAAGTATTTTATCAAAATCGTAGATCCGTATCAACTTTTGAGCGATTTCCGATAACCGGAAGTGGTACTTTTCCTACTTTGAGTACTAATTCAGATAGATAAATTAAATTTCATATGTAAGTAAAAGATCTAATTCTCTACCTTCTGTTAAATTTTGAGTAATTTCCGTTGACTGGAAGTAGTACTTTACGCTACTTCCGATTTCTCAAAAAACTAATGTCAATTTTAAAAGTACTAATAATATTGCGCACTATTATGCGCTTTTTTATTTGGCGTTCACTTGGTGTGCAATTAATTTGTCTACGAGATTTTATTCTATTTTTAAAACTTTAAGTATTTAAAATGGATTAAAAATCATGTCTATAGCCCGAGTTCCCATCCCCTGTTATTTTATATAAGAATATTCGAGAAAGTTTAAGGGAGATCACTCCCTGTTTATTTGGTGTTTTTATTAGTGTTTGTGTTGTGTTTGTGTTTTCTATTTATATTGTGTTTTTGTTGTGTTTAGTTTTGTTCTGTTCCCAAGTTGGTACATTTAAAAAAGATTTACCGGTGTGGAGCACGGGTATGCAGCTAGTAAAGTATAAGGCTAACGGTGTATTCCAAACATGCACGAATTTAGGTTTTATCTTGACGCTAAAGTGCGCAAAAGTTCGCACCGTTTTACACCCAAATTTGGTGTTGTATTTACTTTAAAGTCAGTCATTTGATAATTGAATGGCTTTCTTGTTGTAAAGAATGTTCTTATGGAAATTCTGGTTTTCTTTGTTATTATTTCAAGACCTTCTTGAAAAAGGCAAGTCAAGTTTGAATAACTATGAAAATTTTCTTATATAAGATTTGCATGTTACTGCAAATAGGCCGTCCGGCTTAATTTTCTTCCATCCATACTGCAAGATAGTCTATTTAGATCTAGATCTAGATCTAGATCTAGTCATCTAGATTTAGATCTAGATCTAGAATCTAAATCTTCGTTAACGATAGACCTACATGAACCATTGATTTGACATTATTAGAGTTAAGTTTTTGTCCTAAAGTGTTCATTTATTCTACCTAAAGATTTAGACTTATGATTATTGTTAAAATATAATGGTTGAGAATTTACTTCGTAATTTTTAGCGCAATTTCCATTCTGGAGAATTGCGTTTATTAACGCGTCATTTCTGGGAATGGATGGATGGATGGATGAATGAATGTATGGATGAATGTGTGTCCGGGCTTTAAGTCGTATCTCCTCCTCAACGAAGCAATATCGATGACTAGTTCCAAAAGCAATTATGTTAAGCAAGTTACGAGAATGAGCATAGGCCATAAAAATTCCGGGTTTCTTTCATGTATTTCCCGGAAAAGCCAAAAAACCTCGAACAAATGCAGTTTTTGGCCCATATCTCGGCAACCAGACCACTTAGCGACTTGAAACATGTACCAATCGATTCCTGCCATAATTTAAAACAATATTGCCGAAGAAAGTTTTCAAAAATATCCTCTCGTTTAGTCACAAATTTTAAAATTACATAAACACCTACAAACCGATCGTTCTTCTAGCTTGAACGCATCCCAGCATTATACGTCAGAGCTATTTTTAGATAACATAAGGAAATTGCGCATTAATGTCACTAGACTTTTTAATTAACTTGTTTTTTTCATAGCTGCAGGATTATAATCGGTGGCAATGCTTTCACCCAATGAGTGTTGTCGTTACAAAACATCATCCACAAACTAAACATTTACTCCCATTCATGCTTACACTTGAACACTTTTATTTCCCGCCTTACTAACAGTTCTAACTTTGTTTATTACAAAAATGAACTCAACGATTAAAAAGGATGAACTTAACGCTTAAAATAGATGAACTCAACGATTAAAAAAGATGAACTTTTTATAAACAAGTTTTTTTTTTTAATTTGGCCTTCATCGCAGTTCTAGAAATAGCTATAAAAAATGTTATCTTAAAAAAAATTCAGATATTCAATATTTTAAAAATAAAGATTTATTTCATATAAGTTGCAAATGCAGTCTACTTGAAAACAGTATTTAGGGTTTAAGGCAACATTTCTATTAAACCAAGTCGTTTTACTTGAAGGTTCACTTTTGTATGGCAAACTTTGATTGGCTGATAAGAAAGACATTTCTGAAAATTCTACTTCGTAGTTCTTGGTATTGAAAACTTTGCAGGTGGATAATTATTTATTTTAAGACCACTTCGCTACGCTATGTTTATAGACATGTTCAATAAGATAATCTGAAAAAAAAACTTTTGACTTTTGGCTTTCATTTTATTCTGTTTAATTAAACATTCTTAAAACATTCATCTTTAGTAAAGTCCGACAATAACCGCACAATCAAGTTTTTACAACCATAATTAGATCTATTTTAATAACATCGCTTACGATTTTTAAAATATTTACTGGAACCTGCGAGACCTCTCCCGGGGGTGATGAGGGATCCATTACTGTAAAGATATGCCTAATCCAAATGAGGAGTATATTTACAACAGCTACAGCCAGCGCACATACAATGACGAAGCTGCACAAC